CCGACGAACGTTACTTGTTAATTTTATTTGAAAAGTTAGTCCCTAAATAAATTTTTCCTTGTTCTATAATATAAATAGCTGCATCATGATGATTATTGAAGCGCAATATCGAGTTATATATAATAGACATTGTTTCATACTAAAACGTGCAAATAACGTTTTTTTAGTTCGTTCTTTCTTCTGCTCTTTAATATAAATTCAGTGATTGTATATAATAAACAGGCTAAAGGTTATTATAGAAAAAATACACATCGATTTAAAATGTCTATTTCAACATTCTTTCAAACACTATGCCACTTTTATTTTAATTATCATTATAATAATTCATCTTCAAAATTAACTCCATCAGCATTTTCTCGACGTATTCAATTTGCTATACGAATGACTATTTCATTCCTTATTGGTGGATTTCTTGCCTACGCAACTCCATTAAATAATCAATTAACAACACAATATTTAATTCCTGTTATATGTATTATAACCATACAAGAAACATTTGGAATGACATTATCTGCTGGTTATCAAATGTTAACAGCTATTACACCTCTTTCAATTTTTCTCTTCATAGTTCAAAAGATTGGTCTTGGATATAAAGATTATCTCGCAGCTGAACTCACACTACTTATTTCATCACTTTTAGTTGCCTATAAATGTTCACAGGTAAGTATTTTCTTACAAGTAAATCAAATTATATTGAAATTTCCGATAAAAAGAAATATATAATTTTTTATCAGGTTCAAACTAGAAAAGTTGCTTTATTAATAAATGCTATATTTTTTTCAACTATTGTAAATGAAGCTAAGATTCCATCAACATTTATTTTTACTTTACTTGAAGAATTTGTCATTGCAGTATTTGTTGGTCTAATTGTATCTATTAGTATCTTTCCACTTTTTGCAACTTTTGATGTTGAAAATCGTGTTAATTATTGTCTAACAAATTTACAACAAATGGAAACTATTGTAGTACAAGCATTTTTATGTAAAGATCAAATGAGTGCACAAGTATCACTTGCTCGAGCATCAACTATCGAACAAATGGTACGCACAACGATGAATTTAATGCATTCAAGACTGAATGAAGCTCATATGGAACCGTCACGATGTTTACAACGGATTTTTAATCGAAGACGAAGACATCTTATTGATCTAACATTACAAGGTTATTTGATTTTTTTGTTATTCTACATATAAAATATAAAATATTTGTTTTATAGAACAAGAATATTTTATTAGTGCATTAATGTTTCATGTATGTTCACTTCAAATAATGGTTAAACAGTGTCAATTTAATGAATATCATAGACATTTTACAGAAGAACTTCAAGAAAGTCTTCTTCATCTTAGTTTATGTCAATCAACAATTGTTTCAAGTTTAATGTCATCTCCAATAATTAATAGAGATGAATTTAATGGTCGTCTAACTGCACTACAACAAGCACTTGATTCACTTCGTACAGCTTTTATCGAAGCCCGTCTTCATCATGTTGAACATGTATTAGAATCTGCAAAAACAATTCGATCCGAAGATCATCTTTCACATACTTTTTTTCTTTTTCAACTTGATGCTATAGTAAGACTTTTGATACAAGCAACAACGATCGATCAGAATAAAAGTATTTTTCAAGAGATCAAAGATGCATTTAAACAAAGATATAAAAAGAAGAGAAGAACTGTAATACAAGTATTAAAACCACAATGGCCACGCTGTGTATCAGCTTTTAAAAGTACGGTAATTATTGGAGTAGGTTCAATCTTTGTAATGGTACCTCGTTTGGCAACAGCATTTGAGAATGGACAATGGATTTTAATTGCTCTTTGTATGACACAAGGTGATACAGTAGGTGGAGCATTTACAACAATGAAAATGAGGCTAGTTGGAACTCTATTTGGTAAGTTGTTCTTATTGATATGATTATTTTTAAATGAATCTTATTTATGATTATATATTTGAATATGTTTTATTATTATATAGGTGCTATGTGGGCATATGTAACCTATTTATCAGTTAATGATCATATTTATCATACATTGGGAATGTTAACTCCATGGATGCTTATTTTTGGTTATTTAAAACTGTTACCTAACTGGAGTTATGCAGCTACAGTAGCTGCTTTTACTCCAGCTTTGGTTAATCTTGGTCGAATACCATATGGAGATACAGTACCAGGAGGTAATTATGCTCTTCTTCGTATTGAAGAGAATCTTGTTGGTATTGCTGTTGCCATTGTACTTACCATCGTCATTTTTCCAGTTTTTGCCATTGATGTACTAAAAAATAATATTCAAAGTAAATATAAATTAATATTAATTGAAAGAGTAATTCCTTTTTTTGTTCTTGAATTATTAAGGCACTCTTCAAGTTTGTCGTGAAAGTATTACATCGATGCATTCGATCTATGATCAATTGGCTCCTCATGAAAATTTGGACATAGAAATAATTGATGTCGAGAAAAAAAATGAACAAGAAATCAAATCAGTTATTGATGCTCAACGAAGTCGTTTTCAGCAATTAATTAGTAGTCAACGAATTCTTGTTGGACATGCTGCTCTTGAACCAACTATGTGGTGGTTTCATAATAATTTTTCTTCAATTCGTTATGATACACTTGTTGAACAACAAGTTAATATGTTTCGAATGTTATATAATATTGATGCAATAGTAAGTCGAAGAAAATTCTTTGAATTATCTATTTCATCTATGATTTAGTTAATGCATATCAATGAATGTATAGATAATGATAAAGATCACATTAAGAATCTTCATATGCATACAGCTGGTAGTCTTTTTCTCCCTGATCTTCAAATTGAACTTGTTAATTTAAGTCGACAATTAAGTGATTGTCTTAGTTTATGGTCATCATATTTTGCTCTTACACAAACACGTTCTTATCGAATATTTCGTGATTGTACTTATTCTCGTACAAAATTAAATGAGAGTGATCTTTCAAAACATGAACAACATCTCATTGAACTTCATCATACGATTGATCGTCTTCAAAATCAACATCAAAATTCAATAAATAGAATATTAAAACATTATCTCAATCAATTAACTCAAGGTGAATTACCATCGAAATTTATACCTTATGTTGAAAATGATAAAGCAGATTTAATCATTATTGGTATATCAGCTATGTATTATTCGACAACTCAACTTGCTCAAATTGCATTAGCATTAGGTGTAAATATTCATACTATCTTTGAACTTGAAACAACACATCTTTATCGACCTTTCTAAGTAATGTGAATATATAAGACAAACTTATTTTCTAGTGACGATTACATGCATCAGTATTATTATTGAGTAGTATAACAGTTGAAAACTTCTAATATGTTCTTATTTACAATGCTTTTTAGATTTAATTAGTATATTTATGATGTATTATATAAATTGCACTATTATTTTTAATCAAATAATTAAAAGTATTTTCATTGATATTGTCAAAATATTAGAAAGATTTCAGATGTTATTTCAATAGTCACTGAGAATATACATTTTTAGTTAATGAGAATCTTGATAAATTAATCGTTGCTATTATCATTGACATCGAGATAATGATGTTTTTTTGTGCAAGAGTAGCAATTTCAATTTATAGTTCACGAATAAAAACACATTATGTATCGATACAATGATACTAATAATTGATTATATTGGTTTTGGTAATTTCATCTGTGCGTATACATCATAAATTAATGGCAAATAATTATTTAACAAAAGCAAAATAATAGGAAAAGAAAGAATTATATTCTAATGTACGAAAAAACAAATTCTCTATGTCATAATGGTTGACGACGTTTAAAGTACAAATAAAAATGTGCGTTCATTGCATAAGTAGTGGAAATTCCATAAAAAATTGAACTCATATCTATGAGTTCATTGTATATTAAGAATGATCGAAATATTTTTTCAATACGAATTTTAAAAAAATTCAATACTATGAATAAAAGGTTTCAATTAATTTTAAACTTCATTCTTTACTATGGTGTCTTACTTGTCAAAAAGAAAAAAAAAACTTTAATCATCATTGGCTTCATATCAGTTAAAGAAGTATTGTAATAGATGAGAACTCAAGTCGACATATAATTGAAATGTAATACTATCATAATAAAAGAAAACTCTGACGTTTTTATTTGATGATTTTTTTTAAACGATCAGTAGTTGTAGAAAATCACAATATTTATCAATATCTACGAAGTATTTCAGCATATAGTTTTAAGCAGATTTTAGAGAGCCATATCTTTTTCAAAAGTAGCTGATAATTTCTTCTCCAAATTTTATCTATCTAATAGCATACATGAAGTTTCATCTGATCTCATAGGATATTAAAGTTCATGGTAAGATATCTCATTACATGCTTTGATAGCTCTTCACAATCACTATCAAAGAACATATATGTATTCTTTCTTTGTTCGATGTTTTTCAAAAAGTAATCTGATTGATTTAAACTCAGAGTTGTCAGAGATAGTAGAGAATTTTCAAATTATTTGTTGTGCATTAAAAAGTTCGAATAATTCTATATAAAACAGTATGACTAAATTCTTGTTGAAGCGTATAGCGATGAAACTATGATAATTGTTCGAGATGATTAAAATTGTGACTTTAAAATCGAAGATTTTAACAAAATTTGATATCTTAAAATATTTTATTCAACTTAAATTAATGAACTTAACTTTATGTTTTAAAGTACGATCTATTGAGTTTTGAATAGGCTATCTGCCCATATATATATATATACGAATTTAAAGTTTTTTGTTGTTACTGAAAAGAAATAGCATAGTATGGGTTTTTAGAAAGGTACGAAGGACTGTTCCCGTTATTTGAAAATTTTTTACATACTAAAGTGGATCACTATGCTAAAATTGACATACATTTCAAACAAATTTTGTAGAGGACCTCATAGACTATTCTTTCGAAAAACAAATGCACCTTCTACAGTATGACTACACTGAGATACAGGAAAAAGAAAATTGATGCAAAGATTCCATTGCACTCATTACTTTAATTGAATATAAAAATAGATCGAACGAATAATTCTATTTTTATTATTGAAAAATGCATCGAATATATACATGGTTGCTTTAGATTTTTAAGAGTATGACAATGATGGCCCAAAGCAGCCAATATTGAGGTGGAGATGTCGCGATTTTTTGCAAAGAGAGATTATCTTTCTTCTAACAGAACGCAAAAAAAAAGTTTCAGTTTTGCTGAGAAAAAACAAAAGTTTTCCACAATTGGAAGGATATTACATCTTTGGCACCTCCCCTCGCTCGGATGTGGTGTGGGTTTGGATGAGAATGGAAAGAAGATCCATATGGGGGTGTGGGTGGGTGTGGGTGTGGGGTGTGGGTGTGGATGTGGGTGTGGGTGTGGGTGTGGGTGTGGGGTGGGGTGTGGGTGTGGGTGGGGTGTGGGCGTGGGTGGGTGTGGATGTGGGGTGTGGGTGTGGGTGGGTGAGTGTGGGTGTTGGTAAGAGGGAATACTAGACTCATATCCACATCCACACCGAATTCTAAAGTAAGAAAGTAGTTCTCTTTTCGGTGGTAGGTTTAGATGTTATTTGATTGGAACTTCAGCAATTTGAATACTCGGTATTTCGATAGATTTTCACTCATTGAAATGTGTTCTCTTTCTTTTTCCATTTGAACAATATTGTTTCTACGAGCTTTTCTAGCTAACACAACACAAATAGAACTGGCAAACAATATGCACTATTTTACAAAAAGAAAGTATCCATACTGATTTGACTTTAATTACTATAGAAAGAACTCAAGTCTTAACGAATAAGACATGCATTCTATCAGGAAGAAACGTCAATATAAGTTTTTTTAAGTCTTATACTCTCATGTTATCTGTGAAGGAGAACATTCGAGGATTCCATATCTATGACTATATAGTTCTATCTTTCGCATCAAAATCTATCTGCTCTACTCTTTTAAACAAAAGGTATAATGAGGAATCATTCAGAAGTTCAGCGAAGATGTTGATATTTTTTTAGGTTTTATTTCATTATCACTAAACCATCAAAGGTTGTAGATAGTTTTAAAAAAAGTATTCTGAATAGGTAACAGAAATGTGCGGACATAGGTGTGAGTTTTGTGTTCTCAAATACCCACACCATATTCTTCAAGCGAATGTATTCGATCTTGGAATTTGAATAAATGTAGATCATGAAAATCTGTTGTTTTCTAATGAAACTTGGTTAAAAATGATGAAAATTTGGAAAATGTCATAAATCTGGAACTTCTAGAATATTCTAATGAAAGTCCACATATAATTAAAAAATTGGATAATGATTATTAAGTTGACAAAATATTGAACCTATCTCGTTAACTGAAGAATAGACGAACATTCGACATATACTAGGAGAGAAAATCTTCTTTTCACGGAGATGATTTAATGACAAGACCGTCATTTTTTGAGTTTCTTAAGTTTTCTCCTTAAATAGCATGAGATGAGATTACAAGACTAGAATATCTGATAGTACATGAATATTCTTAACTATATGTGTGAGTAAAAGGTTATTATCATTTGTTATAATAGAATAAACTAAACATGTTTATTATTATATTATGATGATATTCTATCAGTTTTTGGTATTCATGCATTCAAATATATTTCATTTTACATTCCTAGGCCTTCTTTACATTCAAGTTTACTCAGAGAAAATGACATTTATTCACTTGGAGTTTTAAACTGGACAACAACCTATCAAAAAGTAAAAGAAGACTTTTTTAGCAATCCTTGGAATGGTAGCTATAGATTCAGTGTGATGCTTTTGTTGCCAACGCCAACGACAGACAGGCGGATGCAGCTCATCATATCGTCCGCATTATTCAACAACTGATCGAACAACGAATATTTCCATTAAATCATCCTATACAAGTGGGAACAAGTACTAAATAGTTGATTTCAGAGTGCAAATCAGCTCTATTAAGTGTCCAATCTGGCTAATAGCCATCATTTATTGATATTATGTAATCTGGAACAATTACACATATCCCATCCACTTAAATCCTATTTCCAGTTTTTTCTTTGTAATCTCGAATATTTTTAGGTAAAGAATCACTATCACATTCAGGATACATGTTCATCCTCTACAGAGCATAGTATGAAAATTGATTCTCTACATGATTGACATAATCGAAATTCGATTTTGTTGAGTGAACAAAAGTTTAGCAGGTGGTGTTTGTTCTCATGTAGGCTATTTAGAATGACTATAGCATGTATCAGTTACATTTCAAACCTCTTAAACAAATCTTTTACTACTTATGAAATTCTGTTTCTCAGTGATATCGAAACAGCAAATATTAAGTCATATAAAATCAGTCAAGGGTATGGATATACTTACTATTTGCTAGCATATACAACCACTAAGATCAACACTAGTCTAAACATTCTGCCTATGCACTCAGTCCAATGACTACATTTCAGGACGTACACATCCTAATTTTATGCAAATTAATTTAGTTTTGAACATATTTTATTTAAATAATGATTTATTCAAATTCACAATTTAATATTTCTGTATTAGGAAAATATTCTTTTACATATTGAGGAATTTTATATATACCATGAATACCTAAAAAGTTCAATTTTTCACAATTGATTCGTGTTGTGTTTCTTGTAAAATTTTCTGTTACTTTTTCTATTGCATGATAAACAACAAAAAGATCAACATTATTGGATAAATGTGTTTTTGTATGAAGTAGAAATTGTTCGATATAATCTATATGAGCTACAATAAGATAAAGTGCAGTAAGATGAGGATATTTAATAATTGGTAAATTTTTATTGTCATCATTTTGTTTATCATTTTGAGGTTTGTTATTAGCTAAAGTTAAATATTTTACCAATGGAAATGATTGAGCAATTCGAAGAAAAAATTCATGTTCAAATGGTCGTTCATCATGTAATGATATTTTTAAAACATATTTAAATAATAATCCACTTGGAAAATTATTAGTTATTTCGCAATAACTGTTCCATAGATAAGGATATGAATAAGTGCGACAGTGAGCTTGTTGAGTCTCTGAAAAATAATCAACATAAGAAATAATAAGATTATTATGAAAATCTTTGAATATATATTGAATATCTTTATTAAATGGTAAATTGATTTGATTAAAAATATGAATAGTTGAACGAATATCAAATTGAAAGTTATTTAATCGTGACATTTTATTGATAATATTTTTTTTCAAATTATTACCATCAACAAATGTGTTCTTTTTACGAAC